ATCAGGCCTTTGACCCCATTTTTGGTCCTCTCAGCTCCCTCATCTCTCCCATTCATCCCACTATCTTCTTGGCCAGGCCAGCGCTGTTCTAAGACCCCAAGCATTAGTCTCCAACCTCTCAGCCCAGGCCTCCTCTGGTTTAATGCCATCTCCCAGATCCTCCATTCAGGGCGCTACTAACCAGTCACACTCACCCTAGGCGCCCTCGCACACCTCTAACGTGGGCTCATCACTTCCAGGATCACTGGAGCCCTAAGCCCCTGGGCCTGGTGTCAGACTCCTTCAGCCTCACCCCTACTACCCAGGGCCCACGCAAATCCACTGTCCTTGGTCTTGAAAAAGTCAGTCCCTCGGGTAGATGTCCTTAGCCCCAGGCCCTACCACACCATCTAAGAGCCTTCCTATAGATTCCCCTATAGCTCCAAATGGCTTCTGGTTGCTCTCCCAGGTTCCCTAAGGCCAGCCCCCTTCAAGGCTTCAGACTATATGCCCTCGGGCCAGGTTCTCCTCTGGCCTGCTGGCCCGTCTTCAGCCTGGGTTCCCTTCCTCGCCTCAAGATGGTGTCGCGTCGCCTCGGCCCGTGTGTCCTCAGCCCAAGTCCCTCCCGCCGTCCCAGACCGTCTCTCCTCAAACTCTGTTGCCAAGGCCCATGCTCCTTGGCCTCTCAGCCTGTCCCTTTAGATGCCTTACACCATGTCATCACGTTCTGGAATCCTGTCCCGTCTCCTAGGCCCAGGCCCTGCGTGCCTAGCCCAACACCCCGGGCCATGACTCCTTCGTCCTCTCAGCCTAGGTCCCGGCCGTCCTCTAGGCCCTGCTCTTACCCAAAGAGGCCGGAGAAGAAGGACTGTGAGTTCTTCACTTTGCGCTCCGCCTCGGCCAACAGCGCCATCGCCTCCGCCTCCTTCCCGGAATTGTCCATGGCGGCCGCAAAGGTACTCAGCAAACCGCCCGACCCGGGCCCTGGAAGGACTCAGCCGCGGCCGGGCCGCGGTACACAGGTCGGGAGAGCTCAGCGGGATGTGTTGACGTCGCACCGGCGCCCGTCGCCTGCTGCCCGGCAACATGTGACTCGTACTGGCCAATCACGGCCTCGTAGCGCGGCGCGCGCCCCGCCGGCCACGCCCCCGCCGGCCGCCGCACGCCGCCGCGTGACTCACGACTCCCAATCGGCTTCCCGAGATCCCAACGCATGCGCACACGCTCGCGAACGGCACCGCGCTCTCTTCCTGGTGCTCGGTACGACACCTCCCACGTGACTGCATAAGGCACTGGTAGTTCGCGTCGCCAAGGACCCGCCCCCAGATGCTGTCGCTAGATCCTCCTCCGCCAATCAGCAGCAGCCCTCGGCTGGGGTCCGCGCCCCTCTGCCGAACTCGGGCATTAGTCAGCTGACAGGTGACCCACACATGACAGCTCGGGGTCCCCGCCTGCGTTTGACAGTTCTCTTAGCCCCGCCTCCGCGCCGGATCTCGCGTCGCCCTTCACTGGGAAAGGCCTATGTGGCGGAAGGGAAACCGGTCCGCTTTCTCTTGCGCCCTCTGCCGACCAAAGCTGGAACTGGTTTGGGGAGACCGTTGAAGCACTTCAAAGACTGGAAACAAAAGTTAAAAGTTAGAGGTTCTCTAACTTTGGTTTCCCGAAAAATAGCTGGAGAGAGCGTGTTAAAGATTCACATTGGAATACATCTAGGGCCCAGATATTGGTTTCTAATGCCATTCTACAATAAAAGGAGTCGGGATTCCTTGGAGAAATGTCTGGTTCTAGGACTGGGTGGGAAGTTATACACAAGATGAGCCTTCAGCATCTTTGTAGTGCCAGAGAGGAAGGATTAGGCACACACACACGTGCAGGCTCACACAAAACGATGGGGATTTGGATGTCAAAGGGACACGGGAGCCAGCTGAAGGAGCTCCCAATGGCCAAAGCTGGAACGATTTCAGTAATAAAATAGTATTGAATTATAACCCAGAATAAAAAATATCGATGAGCTTATGAGCATATAAATGAACAAATATATATTTAGAAAATAAATGAGGGAAGATAGACAAATAATTTGTGCAGAAGAATTCCAAATAATTTATCTAGATACTCTGCCCTCAAGAAGATGGACGATAACTCTCCACTCCTTAAGTGCGGACTGTGCGTTGTCATTTCCTTCCAAAGAGTACAGTACGAGAAAAGGGACTAAGTTTACAGAGGAGAAACCTGACCCCATTGTCAGTCAGGTGACTGAGGTTAATAGCAACAGTGATAAGCCATGTGATTAATAACATGTGATTAAAATGGCTCTTGACCTCTGTGGTCTTCCTATCAGTCTAATCATGAAAAAACATTAGATAAGTTCTGTTTGAGGCACAAAATACCTGACCAGTACTCCTCAAAACCATTAAGTCATCAAAACAAGGAAAGTCGGAGAAACTGTCACAGCTAACAGGAGCCTAAGGAGACATGACTACTAAATATAACGTGTCCTGGGTGGGATCCCAGAACATTAGGTTAAAAAATAAGGAACCCTAAATAATATATGGACTTCAGTTATTAATTTTGTAGCATATTGGTTCATTAATTGTAACCATACTAATATAAAATGTTAATAAGGGAGACTGGGTGTAGGGTGTATGGGGATTTTTTGTACTATCTTTGCAATTTTTCTGTAAATCTAAAACTATCCTAAAAGGCTTAAGTAAAATCGGGTTCCAAGGCCTTATCCCCAATGATTACAATTCTGAAAAAGTCTATGGCCAAGCACAGGAATCTGCATTTTTTAACAGAACCCTATATAATTAGGCAGATAATTCATGGGCTACCATTTGAGAAAACACTATTATTTGGGGTTAGGGGTTGGCTGACTGGGGTAAGGTATAAGAAAACTTCGACCAACTCTTTTTGTTTTCTTTTTTTTTTTTTTTTTTTGAGACAGTCTCGCTTTGTTGTCCAGGCTACAGTGAGTGCCATGGCGTCAGCCTAGCTCACAGCAACCTCAAACTCCTGGGCTCAAGCGATCCTCCTGCCTCAGCCTCCTGAGTAGCTGGGACTACAGGCATGCGCCACCATGCCCGGCTAATTTTATATATATATATCAGTTGGCCAATTAATTTTTTTCTATTTATAGTAGAGACGGGGTCTCGCTCTTGCTCAGGCTGGTTTTGAACTCCTGACCTTGAGCAATCCGCCCACCTCGGCCTCCCAGAGAGCTAGGATTACAGGCGTGAGCCACGACCAACTCTTTTTGTACATGAAATAGACTTTCCTGGACCACCCACTTGTGGCTGCCACTGTGTCCTTGACCACAGATCGGGTGGGGGCGAGTCTGGATTACCACAGGCAGTTTCGGTTCTGTCAAAGTGCTTCCGTTTAAACTGTTACATTTTAGGGTAATTTGTTATGCAGCAATAGATAACTAGTGTATCCCTCAATCCTTTGAGCCATAGTCTTTCATTTCCAAAGTCACCAGATTTATTTAGCGTGGGACAATATTAGCAATAGCATGCATGCTCATTAATAGTAGCTGTTCTGTTCTTATACTCCACATTCTGCCGAGTACTTAATTTATATTGTCTCATTTAACAGATACATGGCAGGGAGTGGGGAGAGGCATTTTTCATCCCATTCTACAGACCGAGAAATCTGAGGCTCAAAAAAGGAAAATAACTTGCCGTAGGTTACAATGAAGGAAGAGGAGCCAGGATGGAAGTTCAGGTTCAACTGATGCCTGAGCCCTCTCCCTTAACCAGTTCCCAAACCGCTCTAAACTCAATGTCACCTCTGCCCCTCCTCCCTCCCAAGCTTTCAGACTTAGCTGATAAGTGACCTCTCTGTGAAACCTTCTGATGCTACCATCTGCCGTGCTCCCCCTTCCTGTCCCTCAGAACGCACTAAGGGAATCACAGATGCAATCACACCACGATGCAACTGACCCTCTAAGTCCCTCTTCCCCATGTGAGTTAATGGCATCAACTCAGCTGCTCAGGCCCCAAACCTACCAGGCCAGCCCTGAGCTACCCTTTCCCTTATCGCCTCCCCTGTGACCCGTCAACAAGTCTGTGGACTCTTCTCTAAAATGCACCCCAGATCCCAGTGTTCCTGTCCCTCTCCACTGCTACCCCAACCTCGGCCACCATCATCTCACCTTGGAGCCTTCCATCCACTGCCCAGCTTCCAATCTTGCCCCCTACAATCTCCATGTGGCAGGGAGTTTCTTAAAGAGGCACACAGATTGTCATTTCCCTCCTTAACACTCTCTGATACTTTCCCGAGGCGGCGTTTGTGCTTTTGCCATGCAACCCCCTGGGATCCAGATCTTGGCCTCCCCTGGCTGCCCCAACACTGTCTGCCACACCCTGGTCACTCCCTGGGACTTGGCCCCATCTTATTCTCATCATGTCACTTTGCAGTGGACACAAAAGTCTGCCTACTCAGTAGCCATTTGTGCTTCCTCTTCTTTCCTGGAATAATAGAATTCCAGTTTTTTCTGGGTGACAACAAACTTAAGGGAACACATTGGTTTTCCCCAGTCCTGAGATAAATCTTGAGTAGTCCAGGATAACTGTTGCCAGGGATCAGTTTAAAAACAAGCACAGGCTACCGTCCTGGCTGATGAGCCCTACGCCATGGTCTGCTGGGGGCTGTGACACTATCCTCTTAAAAGAGACACAAGGAAGGGAGGGCCATGTTCTCTTCCCTACTCCGTCTGCAGGTTTGGATATTGGAGAGGTTATTTTTGCCTCTGCTGCAAGCCTTCATACTGATGCTAGCTGCCATCAGGGGTCTTGATTTTAATGCTGGGCCACTGGAACCACAAAGCACCCTGTTAAACCTACCCTGACTGTGCTTAAGGGACATTTGCTAAATGCATGTACAGGTTACTATGCCCACCTTCTCCACGAGGACCCAGCTCGCCAGGGTGGGGACAGGCTTGTTCACCGCCTGGCCCTAGCAAGTGGCTGGGGCTCAAAAGCCTTTGGCTGGATCAAGAAGCAGGGAAGTCAGAAGACAGCTGCTCAAGAATCCAATTTAATAAGATTTACAAGTAGACACGTACAAAAAACACACCTAACAATGTACAAGTCACTGCACGACGAGGGACTGAATCCAGAATGCAGAAAGACCGACCCCTGTCCCGGGGAGGGGGCCCCAACATGTTGGAGATCTCGAGGTGTTTTCCCACTGATTCTCTACATCTTGGCCTTATCTAACAAATGTAACCAAACCCCACAACCGAGGCTAAGATTTAAGAGCTACCCAGACCTAACTGTTTCCCTCCCGAGCCTCCCTGCTCTAGAAGTGGAATTGAAAGACAGGGAGAGACTATTAACCTAACAAAATGGAACCTCGGGCACCACCCGAAGGGCTTTCAGACTCGCCTGATGACTCTGCCTCTCCTGCCCGTCTGTGGCCAGAGTCCCGCCGCGTCTGCTCGCCAGGCTGGCCAGTGGGGGACAGGGAGGGTGGGGGAGGCAGAGCGGTGCCCCAAACCCCCTGGAGAGGCCGAGGGAGGAGTGACAGGGCTGGAGGCCCCATCCAGATTTGCTGCCTGCTGGAGTCACCACTGCAGGGGCCCGATGTCTGCCCCTAGCTCCTCCTCCTCCTCCTCCTCCTCCTTCAGCTGGAAGGGCTTCGCCGGCCACTTCACCCTGACGATGGGCTCCACGTGGTCCTGCAGGCGGTGCCGCTTCATGTGGGCATTTCGACTCTTGATCTTGTCGAACACCCTGAGGAGCCAGAAGACACGGGGTCAGAGCAGGGGGGAGGGGGGGCGCCCCAGGAAGGGGTCTTGGGGCTGAGGCTGGGGCGAGGGAAGAGCCGCATACCTCTCACACTCTCTGCATGGAAAAACGCCCTGACTCTCCACGCTGCCTGGCGGCTCGGGTGTCCGCTTGGGACCCGCATTTGGGCTGGAGTTGAGGATGGACTCCCTCCTGTAATTCTTGGTCTTTATCTTCAACTCGGGAGTGGGACGGTGGCTGGGTCTCTCCCGAGGGCTGTAAGTGACCTGCAGACGGTGCAACAGCAATGGAAGGGTGTTAGCCTTCCCCATCCTCAGGGAGACAGAGATCCAAGGGCACCGTGTCTTCTATAGGGAAACCTTCCCCGTAGGAGCCCCCCACCCTCTGACCCAGCCCTCCGACGCAGATGGGCAGTGGGTGTCCAGATCAGATAGAAACCCCAGACACACCCCCGATCCTCTACCTTCTCTTCCGTCCTTTCCACCTCATCTGGCTCTCTCTTGACCCTCTTTTCTAGCCCTGGGGCTCGGCTGCAGTCAAACTTGATCATCTTCTTCCAGATGTAATAATACTCAACACACTGGGCTACCGTCTTTGTCTGGATCTAGTGCAAGAGAACAGACGCAGGCTGTGGGCAGCACGCAGGCCGGGCGAGTGTGACCCTCCCACTGGGCCAGCTGCCACTTTTGGAAAGCCCTTCCCATATGCCTCTTCCTTTGGCTGGGCATGCCCCTTCACCACGAAGTCCTTCCAGGGATGAGGAGTTCAAAGTGAAGCCATGCAGTAGCCACCAGCATCTAAGTCTGGTGCTCGCTGAGCAGTAATCCCAGCCCAGGAATTCTTCCCTATAGGAAGACGTGCTGGAAAACACACACACACACACACACACACACACACACACACACACACACACACACGAGGATGCTCCCTGCGACGTCAGCTAATAGCCGTGTGTTTATCAGCTGGGACTGATTAAACCCGAATGCCCTCATGCATTCGGCAGATAGCACCCAGCCCTACCACCACGCAGAGCCTCTAGAGTCCTGACGGGAAAAGTGGCCCACTCCAGACAAGAGGGAGGTTTGGAGTACACAGTCTGAACCTGAGGCATCATTCGCTCGCACCACTAAGAAGGGATCTCATTTAAAAACAACTTCCGGCCGGGTGCGGTGGCTCACGCCTGTAATCCTAGCTCTCTGGGAGGCCGAGGCGGGCGGATTGCTCAAGGTCAGGAGTTCAAAACCAGCCTGAGCAACAGTGAGACCCCGTCTCTACTATAAATAGAAAGAAATTAATTGGCCAACTAATATATACAAAAAATTAGCCGGGCATGGTGGCGAATGCCTGTAGTCCCAGCTACTTGGGAGGCTGAGGCAGGAGGATTGCTTGAGTCAGGAGTTTGAGGTTGCTGTGAGCTAGGCTGACACCACGGCACTCACTCTAGCCTGGGCAACAAAGCGAGACTCTGTCTCAAAAAAAAAAAAACAACTTCCATAAAAACAAAATGGAAAAGTTTAATTACTCTAGAAAGAAAATTTCCCAGGAAATTAAGTTGGCTATGGATCTCTCTCCAGAAAATATGTTCTTTGCACAAAGTTTTCTCAGTTTTGTGTATAATTCACACACTAGGAGTCAAAACAGCACAGCCTAGGCGGGGGCCTGGTGGCTCACACCTGTAATCCTAGCACTTTGGGAGGCCGAGGTGGGAGGACTGCTTGAGGCCAGGAGTTCAAGAGCAGCCTGAGCAAGAGTGAGACCTTGTCTCTACTAAAAGTAGAAAATTAGCCGGGCATGGTGGTGTGCACCTGTAGTCCCAGCTACTAGAGAGGCTGAGGCAGGAGGATCACTTGAGCCCATGAGTAGGAGGTTGCAGTGAGCTATGACAACGCCACGGCACTCTAGCCCTGGCAACAGAGTGAGATGCTGTCTGAAAAAACCCAAAAACTTGTACAGAGAGACAAATGCCTCTGAGTGCTTGGACAAATAGTTAAAAGAGGTCACTGATCAGAAGCAGGACTGTGGGCAAGGGTGCTGAAGACTTTGTTCTGAGCAGGGAGTGCATTTCTGCACTGTTTGTAGCTGCTCACAAGCACGGCCTTTTGACATTATAAACTGCTTATAGTGTGAGTGGAGTGTCACCACAGGCAGGCGAGGGGTGAGGCCCTTGCACCCCCAGTGGCCCTTCAGCTCTACTTGTCCCAGCTTTGTGAGGGGAGGTCACTGCACCAGGCCTCGTTCACCTTACCGTCTTGTGTATCAAGAAAAAGTCCTTCTTGTGGGCACAGAACGCCTTCTTAAAGAGCCTCTTCTCCAGGGGAGTCCAGATGTCTGAACCTGTCGAAGAACAAGCCAATATACTGTTGTCACTCTCAATAAAAAAACAAAAAACAAAAAAGCAAAAAGAACAGGCCAATAGCGGGAAGGACACTTCTCCTTCTGGGACCACAGCCACGGCTGAAGTGCAGACCACCCTCCCTTTTAAAGTTGCCATTACTGAGCACCAATTATGATGTATCAATTTCATACAATCCTCAAAAACCCCTGGAGGGGAGAGACCATTATCCTCACTTTACAGATGTGACCACTGAGGCTTCGATCGCTTGTTAAGGGCAGGTGGGGGCCCCAGGCAGCCTGCCCCCAGGGCTGGTTGGCTCAACAGTGAAGCTCAGCCCACCTTCCCCTCTCCCTGGCCAGGAGTATCCTCTCTTGGCTGGGCCGAGCCCATAAGGAAACCACTGGAAAAGGGCGAAAGCGGATCCCACTAGCAGCAAGTAGTGCCTACTAAGTCACCCCAGGGAGGACAGGCCTTTCTAGAAAGGCAGGCAAAGGCTCTGACTGGTTCACGGGTCTCAAGCCCAAACCACCCGCAGCCTTCCTCCCATCACCTGTGTAGCGATAGTCGGCGAGCGGGTGAGTGCGCGGCTTCTGGGGTCCTTTGAGGAGGAGAGTCTCCAGGGCAACCTGGAACAGGAAGGGGTGCGGGCTACTCGCGCAGGCTGGGATGGGGAGGGTGGAGGGCCACCTTCAGTCTTCCATTCATTTCAAAAACGCTTACAGCTGTCCCTAAAGTCACCCCTCTCCCAGGGCTGTTCAAAGTAGCCCTGGACCAGCCACCAGCCTGCGAACTGCTTGTAGGCACATCGGCTATGTCCCTAAGCAAACCACTGAATGCAGCGGATGGCATTTTTTCCAGAGAAGGACTGTCTCAGTGCAGGGAGCTGCGTGGATTTATTTCGGCACAAGCTCCTTCGTCTGTTCCGGGGAACGCTAGCCTTGCCTGCCGCCCCATTTATTTTCTCCATGGCCGTGATCATGAGCTGTGAATCCCCAAACAGAAGGCTCATCACGTACACCGGGACCCCCATGAGCAGGGAGGTTCTCTCGGCCCTCCCCCAGGCTGCGGTCCTTGCCCTCCTCACCTGAACGTCGCCCCGGGCCTCATGCAGGCAGTGCAGCGCCAGCTCCAGGTTGGTGCCCCCGCCCGGCATCACGCTGGAGCACGCCACGTTGCAGAGCTCGGTCACTGCGTGTCAGGAAGAGACACAAGGGAGTCAGCAGGTGCCGAGGAGGAAGCCTTCCCAGACAGCGCGAGGGGGCTCCTCCTCATTCACTCCTCGTCTCGACAGAGGGCAGGCTGGGAAAGGGAAGGGCGAGGAGGGCGAGCAGAAACCCGCCCTGGCGCCCGCTCTGGACAGCCTCACCGGCCACGGCGAGAGCAGGGCTGGCTGGGAGCTGCACTTCTCGGCGGCGGCCAGCTCCCCACCCCTGCCCAGGGACAGGTGAGAACCGGGAGGAGAAACTCCTTGGAGATGGAGGGGGAAGAAGGGACCCTAGGAATTTGACTCCAAAGCCTTAGCCACCTCTGTCCTGTGTCTCCGGGTTGGTCATCACATCTCCCCACGGCTTCCAGACCAGAGAGGCGACATGCTCATCGATGCCGGCCAGCGATCTCTCCTGCAGCTCCGGGATCTCGGCCTGAAACCGGCTTCCTATGTTGATGTGTCTGAAATAAGGCCACACACACAGACGTGGGCGACACACGTGTGACTGAGATGGGAAATGAGACAGGGATGCCCTGTGGGAATCCTCTGCCGCCTCCGGGGGGAGCTGGGGACCCGCCACCCCAGCAGGCACACACGGGCATTTCAGCAGCCTCTCCAGGGACGCCTCCTCCCTTCCTGTTTTCCGTCAGTGCCACATTTCTGGCCTTGGGTGCTTCTCTTGGGGTTGAGGCAGGGGAGGCGCATGCCAACACCTGGCATGCTTCTGTGTCCACACCACAGCCAGCCAGCCTGTCCCCCAGGTGCCCCCGAGTCCTGCCCTGTGTCATCAGCAGTTCTACCTGGAACCCCAATTGCCTGACCGTGTATGTGTGAACAGAGTGAATAGTGGGGGGTCATCCCACATCTATCCAGAGAAACCCACTGCTTCTCTCCTAAGGAGCCTCTGCAGCTAACCCGGCCGCCCCGTGAAGACACAGCCCTTGGGGAGAACTGACGCCGGAGCCCCCAGGGGGAGAAGCAGCACCCTCCTTTGTGGGGACTCAGGGTCTAAGTCTGCTCTGACTTACGGTTCAATGCTGATCTTGGTGTCGTCTTTCACCACGCAGATGCCAAAAGAGCCATCCACTTGATCTAGAAAACACACAGGGAAAAGCATCAAGAAAACAGACTGACTGCAGCATTGGTGGTATAGTGGTTAGCATAGCTGCCTTCCAAGAAAACAGACTGGAAGTGACCCACAGGGCCCCCTCTGCCTGCCTTTGTGGACACAGTAGGACATGGGCTCTTTAAGGTCCCATGGGAGGGGAGAGGACTTTCCAAAAGGTAAATGGAGAAACTCAGCAAACAAGAAATTAACTGATGGAAAGTGTACGGATATATAAAAAGAAGAAGCTCAAGTCTCTGGGAATTGTCCTACGGGCATACAGCATTTGGAGAAATATTCATTCAAGAAAATCAACTAAATAGCGGTAACGACAACAAAACTCTGTGGCATCTGAACCATAACTGGTGTCCTTACCCCAGCTCCCAGCTCTGGACAATGGCAGCTCTAGCCCAAGGGCTCTCCTCCAGGTAGGTGTAGCCCAGATGGGGGTTGCCTCTCCCCTCAGCTCCCAAGCATAAGGAGTTAAAGGAAGGTATAATAGTAATTTCTCATCACAGAGAAATGTCATTAAGAGATAGAAATTACATTAAAAAAAATTCTGGGGTTAAAAAATAAAATAATAAAAATGGGGCTCAAAAGGTTTGAGTCGGCAGAAGAAAATACTCAGTGAACTTAAAGATAGATCAGTAGAGATTATGGAATCCGAAGAACAGAAAAAGAATTAAGAAAAACGAAGAGAGCTTCAGAAATGTGGGACACCATGAAGTGTGACAACTACTTATAATGGGAGTGCCAGAAGAAGAGGATAAAGGGACAAAAAAAATTTAAAGAAATCATAGCCAAAAACCTCCCAATTTGATGACAGTATCAAAGAAGCTCTATGAACTCCAAGTAGGATATACATAAAAAGCTCTACATCCAGGCAAAATATTGAAAGACAAAGATAATGATAAAATCTCAAAAGCAAAATGAGGAGAAAACACTCATCACATACAAGGGAACCCCAATAAGACTAATAGCTGACTTCTCATCAGAGACAATGATAGTCAAAAGGCAGTGAGATGACATATTCAAAGTGCTAAAAAGTTTTTTCAAAAATTTCCAACCAAGAATCTTGTATCCAGCAAATTAATTTTTTAAAATGAAGGCAAAACAAAAAAATTCCCAGGCAACCCCCGGCTCTTCTGTCCTATCTCTGCCAGCCTCTCACCTGGAGTAGCCAGTATTGGACTCTGGCCAAGCACTTCCGCATTCTCATCCACATGGAAATGAGCCAGTCTTTTTGCAAGGCCAGTAGACCAAGAGCGTATTTTCCCTCTGTTGCAAATAGCTCTTCTGTGTTTTTGTTTTAAAGGTGGGTGGAGGGATGGTGGGGAATTTTTTTTTTTTTTTTTTTTTTTGAGATAGCATCTCACTCTGTAGCCCAGACTAGAGACTACAATGCAGTGGCATCACCATAGCTCACTACAACCTCAAATTCCTGGGCTCAAAGCTATCCTCCTGCCTCAGCCTCCTTAGTAGCTGGGACTATGGGCATGCGTTAGCATGCCCAGCTAATTTCGCTATTTTTGTAGAGAAGGGGTCCTGCTCTTGCTCAGGCTGGTCTCGAACTCCTGGCCTCAAGCAGTCCTCCTGCCTCAGTCTCCCAGAGTACTGAGATTACAGGTGTGAGACACCTGACCCAGCCAAGCATGTGTCCTTCTGACTGACACAGCATTTTATTAAAAATAAGCACCCTGTTAACTAAATCCCTTTAACAGCTACAAAAGCTTTACTTCTGTACTGATCAAGTTACTGTAAATGCTTGGGTTTATTTCTGAGAACTGAATGGCTAGGATTTAGAACATAGCAATGGGGCTGATCTGTTGGAGTAATGTAAATTTTAATGATAAATAAACATGCAAACCTTTAAAAAAAAAAAACCTAGGTTAAAAAGATTGGCAAAAATGTGTTGTTAGCAAACCTGCCTTATAAGAAATATTATCAATGGAATATTATTCACTCATAGAGAAAGAAATAAAACACTAATGCATACTGCAAAATGGAAGAAACTTGGAGATATAGCACTGAGTAAAAGAAGCCTAATACAAAGAACCACATTTTATATGATTCCACCTATGAAATGTCCAGAATAGCCAAATCTATAGAGACAAAAATTAGATTAGTGATTGCCTAGTGCTGGGCAGGGAAGGCAGGAAAGAAGTGACTGCTCATAAGAATGCCATTTCTTTACAGGATGATGACAATGTCCAAAAACTAACTGTGATGACGCATTGCACAGTTCTCTACATAAACTGAAACCCACTAAATTATATACTTTAAAGGAACTAATTGTATGGTATGTGAATTATATCTCATTAGATCTATTATTTTAAAAAATACTAAAGACAGTTCTTCAGGCTAAAAACAAGTGACATCAGAGAGTAACCTGAATCCACACAAAAAAATAAGAGTCCTGGCAAAGGTAATTATGTAGGTAATTACAAAAGAGAGTATAATTGTACATGTCTTCTCTTTTCATAATTAACTTAAAGAGCAACTGCATAAAACAGTATGTGTCGTGGGTCTGTAACATATAGAAATGTAATTACGTGACAATAACAACACAAAGGAACAACGCTGTACTGGAGTAAAGAAGTAACATCTGAGTGTAACTCAAATCCACAGGAATAAATGAAGAGATCTAGAAATAGTAAATAAGAAGGTGAATATAGGGCCGGGTGCGGTGGCTCACGCCTGTAATCCTAGCTCTCTGGGAGGCCGAGGCGGGCGGATTGCTTGAGGTCAGGAGTTCGAAACCAGCCTGAGCAAGAGTGAGACCCCCATTTCTACTAAAAAATTAGAAAGAAATGAATTGGCCAACTAAAAATATATGGAAAAAATTAGCCGGGCATGGTGGCGCTGCCTGTAGTCCCAGCTACTCGGGAGGCTGAGGCAGGAGGATCGCTTGAGCCCAGGAGTTTGAGGTTGCTGTGAGCTAGGCTGATGCCACGGCACTCTAGCCCGGGCAACAAAGTGAGACTCTGTCTCAAAAAAAAAAAAGAGAGAAAGAAATAAAAGAAATTAAAATATTACACTAGAAAATATTCACTAAATGCAAAAGAAAATACGAAAGGAGGAACAGAAGGGAAAAGAGATGCTAAAAAACTACAAAAGATTATTGAAAAGAAATTAAACAAGGTCTAAATAAATGGAAAGATGTCCCAAGTTGATGGATGGAATGGCGTACAGTTGTTAGAATGGCAACACTCCCCTAATTGATCTACAGATTCAATACAATAGCTATCAAAATCCTTAGTGATCTTAAAATTGCACGGAAATGCAAGGGACTCCGAACAGCTAAAATAATCTTGAAAAACAAGAACAAAGATGGAGAACTCACACTTCCCTATTTCAAAACGTACCACAAAGCTACAATAATGGAAACAGTATAATACTGGCATAAGGGTAAACACACAGATCAGTGGAATAGAATTGAAAGTCTGGAAATACACCCATACGTTTAGCGTCAAACTGATTTTCAACAAGGGCGGTGAGACAATTCAACAGGAACAGTGCTTTCAAAATGTGGTGCTGGAACAACTGGATATCCACATGCAAAAGAATGAATTTGGACCCTACCTCACACAATATACCAAAGTTATCTTAAAATTGATTAAAGACCTAAATATAAGAGTCAAAATTATAAAACTCTTACAAGAGAACACAGGAGTGACTCTTAATGACCTTGGGTCAGGCAAACCCTTACATATATCACCAAGAGCACAAGTGAAAAGAGAAAAAATAATTGGACTTCATCAAAATTAAAAACTTTTCGCCTGTAATCCTAGCACTCTGGGAGGCCGAGGCGGGCGGATTGCTCGAGGTCAGGAGTTCGAAACCAGCCTGAGCAAGAGCGAGACCCCGTCTCTACTATAAATAGAAAGAAATTAATTGGCCAACTAATATATATATAAAATTAGCCGGGCATGGTGGCGCATGCCTGTAGTCCCAGCTACTCAGGAGGCTGAGGCAGGAGGATCGCTTGAGCCCAGGAGGTTGAGGTTGCTGTGAGCTAGGCTGACGCCACGGCACTCACTCTAGCCTGTGTAACAAAGCGAGACTCTGTCTCAAAAAAAAAAAAAAAAAAAATTAAAAACTTTTGTCTTTCAAACAATTCCATAAAGAAAATGAAATGAAAGCCCATCTGTTTGAAATTGTGTATCTCACGAGGACCTTGCAACCAGAATATATAAGAAATTCCTAAAACTCAACAAGAAAAAGAGAGTAAACTCAACTAAAAAATGGGCAAAGGATCTGAATAGATATTTCTTCTCTGAAGAAATACAAATGGCCAAGAGACACATAGAGAATGTGCAACATCGTTAGCCATCAGGGAAACTGAGAGGAAAAAAACTCAAACTTTTTTCCTCTGCTTTCACACCACAATCAACACAGAACACTTCCGTGACCAAATATGTGGGTTTTTTCCCCCAGCACATCAAGCAAGCAATCGATTCTGCAGCAGACACCGGCTAGGTATCCTCTAATTCAGTTCTGGCACCATCTGCCCGGATGGAGGTGGGGTCAGATCCCACAGCTGGGGTGCTCAGTCCCCACGCCTGCAGGGTCCCCACCTCCCATGCTGCTCACAAGCTCCTAGGTTGCCTGTGCTTCTGACCATAAACGAGGGCCCCCACCCCTCTTCATGTTCAATTAATTGGCTAGAGCAGCTCACAGAACTTAAGGAAACAACTACTTACGCTTAACGGGTTTATTATAAAGGATGTCATAAAGAAAGAAGAGGTACCTAGGGCAAGGCATGTGGCGAGCCACGCTCCAGGAACCTCCAGGAGTTCAGCTATCTGGAAGCTCTCCAAGCCCCGCCCTTCTGGGTTCTTAATGAAGGCTCATTATGTAGGCACGATTGACTAGATCATTGGCCACTGGTAATGAAGTTAACCGGCCATCCCCTCCCCAGAGGTTGTGGGGTAGAGCTGAAAGTCTCAACCCTCTCATCCCACCTGGGTCTCCCCAGTAACCAGTCCCCAGCCTGAAGCTACCTAAGGGATCCACCATTAGTAATCATTAGCATACAAAAGACATCCCTTTGGCCATTCTAAGCATTTTAGGAGTTGTATGCCAGGAAATAAGTCAAAGACCAAATATTTCTAGCACTCTGGGAGGCTGAGGTGGGAGGATTGCTCAAGGTCAGGAATTCAAAACCAGCCTGAGCAAGAGCAAGACCCCCGTCTCTACTATAAATAGAAAGAAATTAATTGGCCAACTAAAATATATATAGGAAAAAAAAGATTAGCCGGGCATGGTGGTGCATGCCTGTAGTCCCAGCTACTCGGGAGGCTGAGGCAGGAGGATTGGTTGAGCCCAGGAGATTGAGGTTGCTGTGAGCTAGGCTGATGCCATGGCACTCACTCAAGCCTGGGCAACAAAGTGAGACTCTGTTTCAAAAAAAAAAAAAAAAAAAACCAAATATTTATTTTGCTGTATCACAGAGACACAAATCAAAACTGTAATTAGATACTACTTTCTATCTACTGGGATTGTTATAATAAAAAGACACACAACAGTAAGTGTTGGCAAGGATATGGAGAAATTAGAATCTCATATACTGCTGGTGGGAATTGAAAATGGCACAGCCATTCTGGAAAACAGTCTGGCAGATCCTAAAACAGTTAAATATGGAGTTACCATATGACCGAGCATTTCGCTCTTAGGTATCTACCCAAGAGAAATGAGAATATACTTCCACACAAACACTTGCACATGAATCTTCACAGCAGCATTATTCGTGACAGCCAAAAGTGGGAGCAACCACAGTGTCCGTCAGCTGATGACCAGATAAAAGAAAGTGTGACCTATCCGTACAGTGGCGTCTCATTCAGCCCTCAGAGGGAACGCAGCACTGGTACGTGCCACAGCGTGGATGAACCCTGAAAACGTGACACTAAGTGAAATAAGCTAGACGCGAAAGGTCACATACTGTATGATCCCACTTACAAGCAAAGTGCAGAACAGGCGAATCCACAGAGACAGAAAGCAGATGAGGGGTGCCTGGGGTTGAGGGGGGACAGGGCCTGTGGGGCTGTGAGAGGGGTGTCACTTCCAATGAGTACAGGCTGCTTCTGGGGAGGATGAAAATGCTCTACAATTCGATTGTATGATGGGTGCACAACCTTGTGAATATCCTAGAAAATACTGCGTACTCCAAATGGGTGATCTGTATAGCAGCTGAACTATAGCTCAACAAAGCTGTAAGAAAATGACACAAACAGGCAGGCAACAGAGTGGTCAGGCTAGATGGCCTCCATGTTTTCTTTCTGGCCATAAAATCCTAAGCACTTAGGAGGCTGCTGGTCTCAGATTGGTCCCGGGTGCTTCTGAACAGCAAGGGGACCCTGGGACCAGGCACACCCAGCGGCAGGAGACAGCTGCTGGGCCAAATGGCATCGGGTAGGGTGGCTGTGTCCACAGCCTCACTCACCAAGCATGGAGCTGATGAGCTGGTCGGGGCCGGCCTGGGCCGAGGTGGAACAGAGAGTGTTGAAGTACAGCCCCGAGCCCTCGCGGATGGGGCTGAGCATGGGTGGCGGTGTGTAGGGGGAGCACTGGAAGAGGCCCTTCAGGAGGCAGTCCACCAGGAACACTGGAGACCGCAGGCAGCTCTGGTGGCATCGTCCCGGGCCCAGCTCCCCACAGGTGGACGGTGGGGGCGGCATGAACAGCGCCTTGGGCTGGGGGCGCTTCTTGCGCTTTCTGTGCTGGCTGCTCTCCTTGCTGTCTCTCTCCTCCCCGTCTCTCTCCTGTCCCTGGGGAAGAGAGTTCAGAGCCGCAGATGTTCACCGGAGGCCACCTACCGCACCCCTCAGTCTGCAGGATGACAGGAGAGTGGGAAAGGGACTGGCCATGGAGACAGAGGGCCACACCCACGGCCCTCAGCAGGGGCCACCAGGCCGGGGCAGCCTGAGAGACTAGGCCCGGCATGTTCTGAGGCTGCAGCCTTCTCATGCACCCCTCCCCCAGGAGAGCCCCTGGCTCAGAGGATTCTGGAAACGTGTGAGGACAGCTTCAATCGTTAAGAAGAGTGGGAGCTCACAGAGATAGAGGATGACTGTGACAAAACAAAAACTTATTCCACTCAGATGAAAACAGCCCCCAAGAGACCAAAAATGGGATCCAGTCACTGACTCAGGGGACCTTGTGGTCCAAACACCCTGTCCCTGAGTCCAGCATGAGCTTCTCCAGGTGGGGCGTCCAGTACAGGCTGAACAGACAAGCTTCTCCCCTCCTCTCTTCCAGCCTCACCCTCTAGCCCCTAGCTCCCACACCCCCTCCTCCAGGAAGCCCTCCCTGACTTCTTCAGGCTGGGTCAGGAGCCCCCTCAGAACTTCCCAGCTCCCTCTCCTTCCCCCAGCCCTGTCCACCCAGGTCATCACTGTCTGGGGACAGGTCTGTCTCCTCCAATGGACTGGGAGCCCTGGGAGGCAGGGCTTGACTGTCAGAGTCACTGCCGTGTGCCCAGCACCACCCAGCACAGGCCCTGGCTCAGCAAGCGCTGAATGACCGCATGAACGTGCAACCGTGTTCTGGAGCCAGGGTTTCCTGTGCTGTTGGGGTTGGGCTTTCTAGTGGCAGTGAGAAGGCAGAAAGGCAAGCACCCACCCTGGCCGTGCTCCCTGCGTGTCGGTTCGCTGGAGCCACAGGGACCGACACAGGGATCACCAAAGGGGCTGCGGCCGTGATGTCCATGGACTTCTTGGTTCCTGGGGGACTCTGTCCATCCCCTTCTGTCCTCAGCCCCTGTCTCGGTGGCTTGCAAAACTCCGTGCCAAACCCCTAAACACGGAGAACAGACGGCTCTTTAAGAGAAATGGTTGGGGGAAAGAGGAGGTGCACCAGAAGACAGTGGTGACCGTGAGGACAGCTGTCGCAAACTTCCTGGCAGTGAGGCTGGGGGTGAGGACAGAGCTGCAAAGCCACGGCTGCCCCGGGAGAGCGGCAGAGCCCTGGCTCCGGGCCCCTGTCCAGGATGACGTCTCCCTCCTGAGATAAGCGACACCCAGTGGTCTACTCCCCGCAGGCGGGACCCTGAAACCTCGGAAGCTACTGCTCATGCCCCTTCACCTGCGGCTCCTGCTTCCCTCGAGGCGACGGCCACTGGTCGCTGTGAAAACACATGTGGCTGCTCAGCCCTTTCTCGGTGTAAAACATCTGGCTGCAATTCTTGCAGACGTAAGTGCTCCTTGGCTCTGTCCGGTCTGTGGGGCCCCCGTTTTGCTGGTTACTGCGGGTAGACATGGCAGGAGGCAAGAACGGGAGATTGGGACTCTGTCCCTGGTCACTGATTTGTTTTTGTTTTTGTTTTTCTCTTTTTTGTTTTCAACTCCAATCCCCCGTCGACCCTTGACAAACCCTATAAAATGGAGGCTCTACTCTAATTCTTCGTGGGCTGACGCATCCCCCCTCGGTTGAGGACTCCCAGCTCACTCACCTAGGGCCAGCAGGTGAAAGCCACAGAGGACCCCCAGGCAGGGCAGAAGGGGCTTCTTAACTTACCATCCACCTGCCGTGTTCTCTTCCTTCATCGGATGGGGGAGCCTGTAGATGTTTCCACCCTGAAGATGAAAATACATCTGAGCCAACACATCAGAAATGACAAGGGATGGGAGAGCTAAAGCTACAAGACTCTCAGAAGAGGGCTGGGCGCGGTGGCTCACGCTTGTAATCCTAGCACTCTGGGAGGCTGAGGTGGGAAGATCACTCAAGATCAGGAGTTCGAAACCAGCCTGAGCAAGAGCGAGACCCCATCTCTACTATAAATAGAAAGAAATTAATTGGCCAACTAATCATATTAGAAAAAATTAGCCGGGCATGGTGGCGCATGCCTGTAGTCCCAGCTACTCGGAAGGCTGAGGCAGGAAGATTGCTTGAGCCCAGGAGTTTGAGGTTGCTGTGAGCTAGGCTGATGCCACGGCACTCACTCTAGCCTGGGCAACAAAGTGAGACTCTGTCTCAAAAACAAAGAAAACACTGGAGTAAATCTTCAAGATCTTGGATTAGGCAATGGTTTCATAGATGTGACACCAAAGCAAAACAAAAGACAAAACAAACAAATTGGACTTCATTAAAATTAAAAACGTTTGCCCTGCAAACAACACAATAAAATGAAAGACAGCCCACAATATAGGACAGAATATTTGCAAATCGTGTATCTGAAAAGGTGCTTGTATCCAGAATATATAAGCAAACCCTGAAACTCAATAATGAAAAGATGGTAACTCAATTTTTTAAATGGGCAAAGGATCTGAATAGACATTTCTTCTAAGAATATATACAAATGGCCAGAAAGCACACAGAAAGGCCATCAGGGAAACACACATCAAAACCACAACAGGATACCACTTCACACCCCCTAGGATGGTTATAATAATAATAAAAAAGTGAGCCACGTGCGCCTATAGTCCCTGCTACTTGGGAGGCTGAGGCAGGAGGATCGCTTGAGGCCAGGAGTTGAAGTCCAGCCTGGGCAACATAGTGAGACATCATCTCTAGAAAAAAAAAAATGGACAAAAGCAAGTGTTGGTGACGATGTGTAGAAATCGAAGCCCTCGTCAACTGTGGTGGGAATGTACAATGGTACAGCTGCTTCATAGAACAGTCTGGCAGTTCCTCAAATGTTAAACGTAGGAGTTGCCACACGACCTGGTAATTCCACTCGAGGTACCTACCCAAGGCCATACAGCCACACAAAAATTAGTACATGGGTAACAAGTCATGATAGCACTATTCACAATAGCCCCAAAGTGGAAACAACCTAAGTGTTTATCTGCTGATGAACAGACAAATGAAATCTAGTGCATCCATCCAGTAGAATGTTCCTCAGCCGTAAGAAGGAACAAAGCACTGACACACGCCACAACATGGGTGGACCCTGAAAACACCACGCCAAGTGAAAGAAGCCAGACACAAAAGGCCACCTATTGTAGGATTCCACTACATGAAATGTCCAGAACAGGCAAATCCATAGACAGAAGGTGGAGTCACAGTTGCCAGGGGCAGGAGAAGAGAGACTGGCGGTGACAACGAAGAGATGTGAGGTTCCTTTCTGGGGTGATGAAACTGTTCTGGCAAATACTGCTGATGGGCGCACAATCTTGTGAATATACTGGCCGGGCGCAGTGGCTCACGTCTGTAATCCTAGCACTCTGGGAGGCTGAGCCGGGCGGATTGCTGGAGGTCAGGAGTTCTAAACCAGCCTGAGCAAGAGGGAGACCCCGTCTCTACTATAAATAGAAAGAAATTAATTGGCTAACTAATATATATAGAAAAAATTAGCCGGGCATGGTGGCACATGCCTGTAGTCCCAGCTCCTTGGAAGGCTGAGGCAGGAGGATCACTTGAGCCCAGGAGTTTGAGGTTGCTGTGAGCTAGGCTGACGCCACGGCACTCACTCTAGCCTGGGCAACAAAGTGAGACTCTGTCTTAAAAAAAAAAAAAGTAGGCTGGGCATGATGGCTCACCCCTGTAATCCTAGCACTCTGGGAGGCCGAGGCAGGCGGATTGCTTGAGGTCAGGAGTTCCAAACCAGCCTGAGCAAGAGTGAGACCTTGTCTCTACTATAAATAGAAAGAAATTAATTGGCCAATTAATATATATAGAAAAAATTAGCCGGGCATGATGGTGCATGCCTGTAGTCCCAGCTACTTGGGAGGCTGAGGCAGGAGGATTGCTTGAGCCCAGGAGTTTGAGGTTGCTGTGAGCTAGGCTGATGCCACGGCACTCACTCTAGCCTGGACAAGTGACACTGTCTCAAAAAAAAAAAAAAACTAAAAAACTACTGAGTTGTATACCTTAAAGTGGTGAAGTACATGGCATATGAATGATAAAGCTGTTTTGGTTTATTTTTTTTTTAAAAAAGAGATAGCTGTGGTAGGAGAGGTGGCTAACCTCTTCAGACCAGGACCTTAGGCCAGGATGATGAAGGAACAAGCCACTGCTCATGACTGTGCTGAGCAGGGTGGGGGACACAGCACGTGCCCACTTGTACTGGTGGAAACCATGAGTGACAATCAGCAAATACACGGCCACTTCATGCAGGAACATTTAAGGAAAGCAGGGTATCTACTTTTATATCCTCTGAAGAATTTAAGGAGGCAAATCCAAAAGTTAACGAGAAGCAAAAGAAAGCAGACACGGCTTGGTGAGACAACAAAATGACACAGAGTGTTTTGGACAACTCTGCAGTGTCCTCATTCTAATCTGGTGGGTTTTGGTTTTTGTAGGAGAAACCACAATCTCTCTGCACCTTAATTTCTTCCTCTATAAAACTACATCTAAGGATTCATTGAAAGGAAATAAATGCATGGACAACTAACAAACGCTGATGCGAACACCAAATGGAACTTTCGCCTGGCTACGGGCAGGCCAGACGGAAGAGGGCTCGGTACCTGGATTCTGTTGAATATTGTCAGCTTGGACTTGGGGTCGCGGGGGGGATCCGAGGGAGGCCCGGCCGACGAGAAGGAGGCCATGGCTACCTGGCTGGGGGAAGCTGCACAGCACAAATCCATCTTCACCTTCTCCTTCCGGAAGCCTGAGAATCGCTGGGCTCTGGGGTTCCCCGAGAAGAGCCTGCAGCCTCCGCCCCGGGAGCAGCCTGGGCCCTTCTCACCTTTGGTGGCCCCTGAAGTCGCGCCGTTCTCGGCCTGAGGCTGCTTCCCAGGCAGCTGTGCTCCGGGCTCATCCCCACCTAGCGGGGTCTGCCGCGAGCCGGTGGCAGGGAAGATGTCCCCCAGGTCCAAGGTGCCTTTTGAGGATCGCAGCTGCTTGGCCACAGAAGAGATGTCTGGATTCCCGGAGGGGTCCAGAGATGGCCCTGTGAGGGACGGCAGAGCAGTGGCGACTTTCAGTCCTGCCTTTGAGTCTCGTCTTGTGCTGCCCGGGGAGGCCTCTCTGGGAGCCGTGGGCGTGGCTTTTCTCCTGCGGGCTGGGGATCCCTCTGGCTCCAGGTTTCCAGGGCCCGCGTGGACAGAGTCGGCAGCGGGGGCCAGTGGTGCGGGCTGCTGTGGCCACGGCCCCTGCAGCGGCTTCAGGGCAGCCTGCTTGCCCTCGGGCACGGGGAGCTGGGAGGAGGCCGCCGCCACCTGGGTGTGGGAGAAGATCCGCTGGGACTTGGTGATCATCTGGAACACTTGCATCTGCTCATGGCTCACCAGCGACTCCTGTGACTTCAGGAACAGCTGCCGGAAGAGCGGGGTGGCATCCGACGGGAGCTCCCCCGGTTTCTGGACATCCTGGAGGCCAGTCTCCCCAGGGCTCTGCCATGAGAAGGAGTCGCAGTCAAACCTCTTCTTGGAAGCCCAGGGATCGTCTTCCCCACTGGCACACCTGGGGTCGCCCGAGGCCTCCCCGGGTGCCTTCAGGAGCGAGGGGGGGAAGGGCAGCACATCCTCCAGGCTGCTGCCCGAGCTGGACGAGGGCTCCCCCGATGGGGAGGTGCTGCTGGGCCCCGGGCCAGATTCGGAGCCCTCGCGGGATGGCACAGGGGGCTTGTGGACAACAAACACGTTGTTGCCTTTGCTCTTGGGGCAGCCCGGCAGGTTCCGGAGCCACTGGAAGTTGTGGCTCGATGGCTGGGAACTGGCCGGGACCGCCTGGCCTCGGAAGAGAGGCAGGCAGGCAGGCAGCGAGCCGCCCTCGGGCCAGCCCTCCATGGTGGACGGGAGCTGCAGCAGCGGGGGCTCCGGCTCTGGCGGGTCGGGGGCGCCGTTCTCCGCCGCCCTTGGGTGGATGGCCGTGAACGCGTCGGCCGCTGGCTCCTGCGGGAGGCAAGGCTCCTCGGGAACCTCAGTGCCCAGGGCTCCTGGGGGTGCCGGGGTGCCAGCTGGGGTGCAGGAGGAAGACCCGGCTGGGGTGGGGCAGGGGCAGGCTGCGTTCCTCCCTTCACTGTCCGAGGACCCGGCGGGGGCCGGGCCGGGAGAAGGGATCTTCTGGTGGACGATGCTGCTCACGATGCAGCGCAGGAGGTCTCGGTTGGGCAGGAGGGAGCCAGGGGACCTGGCTTCCGGGGGCACCAGGGACCGCAGGCTACTGGGAGGTGGCTGGTTGGCCGTCTCGTGGGCATGGGGGGAGTCCCCACAGGCCTCCTCTTCCGGGGGGGCTTCCTTCAGGATGCACAGGCCGTGCTGGACCTCGTAGTGCCGGCGCAGAGAGCGGTAGTCGCAGTAGCTCTTGCTGCAGCCCTGCTCGATGCACACGAAGGGCTTGGTCTTCTGGTGGGTGAGCATGTGCCCGGTCCTGGAGCCAGACACAGGAACAGGGGGTCAGGGGGCGCCCCAGATGGGCCTTCCACTGCAGGGCCCCAGGGAACCCGAGGGTTAGCGGTGCAGACGCACCAAAATTGAGAAACCCCACAAGGAAAGCCTACCAAGCAACCCCTGCTCTGTCAAAGCAATCTGGGAGGGGAGCTCCTCTCCCTTGCCCTTAAGCAAACCCCGTATCTGAAAAAAAAAATCCACTGAAGCCAGATCAGACTTCCCCAAAGTGGGTTCGGGGAACAGCAGTCCTCCAGAGTTGCTCCCTCAGGACTTGGGGTTTTAAAAAAAAACACTATTCACTTCTTGGAGATTCACAAGGCACAGTAGCAAATTTAGAAGCCACACAGAGAGAAACCTGTTTAATTTTCAGTGTCTCTCAAACCTATTTGCCCAAACTGTTCCTTTTTTTCCAAATAGCTCCTTCCAGCATTCCTGAGAAGCAGGGTTCTGCAGAACAGACTTGGGGAGATGCTAACTTGGGGATTACCCTCCCTTAGCAAGGAGCCCATGGCTTTTAGGAGGCTTCCTCTGAGGACAGCTATCTGGAACCCCCCACAGCAGAGAAACCCATTTACAGCTGCCCAACTCCCTAGAGCCAAACGTGCCTACAATTTCTGCAAGCACACATGCATATACATATGTATTATATTTCTATCACACCCACATCTACACTAACACATTATAAACATAAACAAATGAGCAAATCGGCTCTGGCTTCCCAAAGGCCTGCTCTGGACAGTGCTCATAAATGTGGCCCGTGGGATAAATCCAACGAATATTAAAGGTTCCCCCAAAGGTTCACAGCTGGTCTCCAGCTGAGAGAAGCAACAGGGAAGGAATCGGGAGACCTAAGCTCTAGCCCCAGCTGTTACCAACTTGTGACAGGAGCAAATCACTTCCTTTCCCTGGGCCCTGAGGTAGGGGTGGGACAGTAAGAATAAGGGCTATTTTGCAGGTGCTATGTTATGTGGCTACTGTAGTCCCAGCTACTCAGGAGGTGAGGTGGGAAGATCGCTTGAGCCACGAGTTGGAGTCTAGCCTGGGCAACACTGTGACATCCCTGTCTAAAAAAAAGGGACAAGGGAAATTCTGCAATTTTGCTCCTAACTCTTAAACTGGGCTTTCATCTTAAAACCAAGAGTTTATATAAAAAAAAAAAATCAGGAGTTTATAAACAAAAGGAGTTAAAAAAGAAAACCAAGGGTTGAAGCTCCATTGCCATGTTCTAGAAACAGGCGTCCCGCCTTTTATGCCCCGTGTCAGCCCGACATATATTCCCCACGGAACGCAGATCCGTTCTCCCCACTCAACTCCCAGGGACTCAGGACATTGCTCTGCACAGTCAGCCCAACTTCCTCCGTGACACAAGTGCCTCGGGAGGGAGCCATGAGTGTTTTAAATCCCAAGGGCTCGGTCTGCAAACCCAAGCAGCTACCTCCCGACGGGGGTGAATTTGGGGCTCCCAGCGCGCTGGCAGCGCGAGAAGAACGGACTCTGCGTCTGGACACAGGTTACACACAGCCAGGGGACAGGGAGGCGGAGACACTGGACAGAGGACGAGACAGCTGGGTCCGGGAGAGCAGGACGAGACCCGGGGACGCGCCCACACCCACCGGCCCCTGAACAGACATTTTCCTGACCAGACTCCTACATACAGGTGGTCCTGACGCTTAAAGGCCTTGCTGCAGATTTTGCAGACGTGTTTCCTTTCCTGGCTGTGCGTCAGGTAGTGCTTGCTAAGAGAACTGGCGCTGCTGAACACCTTCCCACACAGGCTGCAGTCCAGAAGTGGGTTTTGAGGGGAACTGTGCTGCCGCTTTCCTTTCCTGGCACTCCCAGAGGTGGCCCTGCCTCCTTCCTCCACCTCTTTAGGCACCTTAAGTGCACCTAGCCCCAGGTCTAAACAGAGGGAGAAAGCACAGGTTACAAACGGCTGGGGAAATCGGAGAGCACAGCTAAAGCACTCTAAAACTCTTAGAACCATGGTGGCCTTGGGAGAGGGGCCCGAATACTCCAACGCCAGCAGCTTTACGTGCAGAGAAAGCATGGTTTGGGAGCAGGGGCCCTGTCAGACCACACCCCGGGGACAGCACCCAGACTCTGCCACATGCACAGGGACGGCGGCAGACCGAAGCACTTCTAGGACGGTGTGAGGGAGACTGGCAGAGCTTACGACCCCAGTACTCTTAGGACAGCAACCTAGAAATAAATTATCCGAAACCTTGGAAAAGTATAAACCCTTGCACACACCCGGATTTTTAACATAAGGAAATAAATGTAGCTTTGTACAAAGATCTGGCTGCAAGAGCATTAACTGTCATGTTGCTTTTCCTTGTAAAATGTTAGAAACAACCTAATATTTGATAAGAGGGCACGTAGGTGACTGCATCATGGTTTAAATGGTCTATGGCGTAAGCATTTCAAATAAAACTGTAGAAAAATATCTAATGACATGAAAGGATGTTCATGTCATACTACTAAGTGACAAAACGCAGCCTTTTGCAAAACGGAGTTATCCTAGTTGTTAAAAAAGAAAAATAAATTTCGATAGAAAACAGACCAAGGGAATCGGGTTGACTGGTAGGATTATGGGTTGGTTTTATTTTCCTTGTTTTCTGTGTCTGAATTTTCTACATTTTCTGTGTCCCTTGGGTAAAATCGTAGAAAGTATTTTTATAAATCATATCTCAGATGAAGGAACTGAGTATAGTCACTTGGGAGAGGGAGGGTGTCTTTAAATATCTGAAGGGCCACCATGTGGAGGAGGGGTCGGATTGCTTCTGTCCTGCTCCAAGGGACAGAGCTAAGTTTGGGGAATGAAGAGTAAAGAGAAGCCGATTTTAAACCACCAGAAACAAGGGCCACATGTGCAAGGACTCTGCTTGTTCATGGCTGTCTTCCCGGCTCTGGGGGCCGCTCTGGCACCAGCTGGTACTCAGTAACTATATGTTAGATGAAGTGGGGGACCTGCGGCCTTCTGATTTCAAGAATGTTCTTTTATAAGCACCAAAGGGGGAAAGACAAGCTTCATTCTTCTCTGTTGCACCCCTTTTAATAAAAGGATTTCTTCTGTAAAATTTGGATTCAGTCAAAAGGCAGCACTTAGGGACCTAGAAGGCCACATCTCGCCTTAAGGCCGCAGGTTCCCCACCCCTAACGAATTCTCTGTGGCTCGCGAGATGCATTTGACAGACGAGACAGAAAGCAAACTGGACTGGGAGCCTTGGGCCATTTGTCACTTAACTTACTTGGCCTTCATCTTCTTCCTATGAGAAATTACTATAATGACTAATCAAATTATTCCAACAGGTTTAACCAAGAAAATATTGGATTCCCTCAGGGTAATTACAGTCCTTAGCCTTGCTAAGTTACCTTATATATAGATATATATATATTTTTTTTTTTTCTTATTTTTACCAAAGTCAGCCTTGAAGGCTAAAGATGCTAAGTTACTTTAAAATGCTTATTAAACTAACTGTTACACTAGAAAACAATTTTTTTTTTTAATAATTGGCAAGGACACTGAAAAACATGGACAGAGTCACCAGCCTAGGAAGCTGCTTGATGCAGACAGCAACATTATAAGGCTCTGAAGTTGTTCACTTGCTCTGTCTGAGTAAACATACTTTGATGAAAATGTTAAAAAACGAATCCAAAAGAAAATCCTATATGTAAAAAGCATTCACAGAAACACTTTAACAGTCTAACAAGCAAGAATATGGTCTTGGAACCTTAAACACTTTAAGCAGGAGGAAAAAAAGAGAAAAAGAGAAAAGATAAAAAAAAAAAAAAAAGAATATGGTCTTGGGAAGAGTGGTGGCGCATGCCTGTAGTCCCAGCTACTTGGGAGGCTGAGATGGGGAAGATCGCTTGAGCCCAGGAGTTCAAGGCTGCAGTAAGACTAGTAACTGCACTCCAGACTGGGCAACATAGTGAGATCTGTGTCTTAAAAAAAAAAAAGAATATGGAATCCAGTGGAATAGCTATGATAATGACCTTCAATATGAAGGCCTACCTTCATATATGAAAGCAAATACACTGTCTTAAAACCTTCAAATAGAATTATATACTTAATATTATCTCTGTAAGGCTATCTATGCCTGAGCAACTTCAACCATGAGTTTAAATATTTACATGTGGGAGCCAGGGTAGAGATTTTTCTTTCTTATTACTTCTCTTTATTTTCTAAATTTTCTTTAATAAACATATATTACTTTATTAATTTAAAAAATTAATATAACCATATGCATTTATATTACACATTATATAGACATGAATTTAAGTTAGAGAAGGGTTAAGAGTTGAAATTTAATGTTGAGTGGATTCCTTTTTTCCTATAAGGTGAAGAAAAAAAATAAAGTTTAAAACAAACTAGGAAAAGTTTAAGTAGATTAATGACTATAATATTCTGGGGGACAGATCTCTATGTAAATCTATGAAAGCTACAGTTTCTCTGCCCAGCAAAAATGCACAAATATTCACACCATCAGCATTTTTCAGGTAATTTCTGTGGCCCAAGTTGACAATCCTAATTATGATACCCCCAGGCCTGCAACGCTGCAGATATCCTGTAATGATGTCTAATGTTTCTAGGATTTCAGACCTAGGTGTCCTTCTAACACAACGACAAGGCTTATGCCTTGTCTACTACATCTTCTGTGGAGTAGGGGGCCCTCAGAAGTTTTTCATTCTAGAATGTTCTTCACAATGCTTCTTGAGCTGTTTATCCCAATTAACACTAATGCCTACATCATGGGGCCATGTTAGATGTGGCCTTCCACGCATGTGGTGTGAATATAAACATCAAAAAGCCCTAGTTCAGTCAATCCATCTAAGCAACTTATTCTAGAATCCATGAAAGAGGGTTAAAAACAAAAACCAAATTTATCTTCCAATGGAAGCCTAAAGGCAAACCGAAAGGAGATTTAACCAAAGTATTTAAAGTTATTTAATTATTTCAGAATAATTAAATAAAGTTCTCCCTTCTCTCATCCACTGCTGAAGAGAAAGACTTAGAATTGAATCAAGGGCCTATCTAAAATAAAATATAATGATATTAATTTTTTAAAAAAAAAACAACTAATATCTGTTCAGGGCTTTAAGCTCTAAGTGCTTTTAGGATCGCTTTTTCTTTTGCTTCTTACTACTGTTACTCTGGGGAGATACAGAGGGGATATTATTGTCCCCTCCACTTTCCAGAAACAGACACTGAGGCCTAGGAAGGTTAGACAACCAAGGATCAGAATGGACAGGAGCCAGCTCAGCTCATTCTGGTAAAGTGCAGAGAGTCTCTGAGATGTGGCAATGGGTAGGAAAGTCTCCCATAAACACTAAGGTCTAGCCACATACAACAGAAGATTAGGATATCCCAAAACATCTAAGTTTCTCAACATTGTTCCCTAAAATTAGTGTTCTATTTCCTTTATTAGGAAGTAGGGAACAATCCCCAGGTAGGAAAAAAGTGGCTATTCCCTAAGTAACCTGTAGAGGAGAAAAATTTTCTTAACCAATCCAGGCAGAATCAATCCCTAGCTGGCCACAGGAACTGTCCAACTTCCTGCCAGGCCCTTCACCCCCAGTGGACTGCCTCACCTTGCAAGGAAGTCTGAGATTCCGAATCTGCGTACTCCTCCAGCAGTTTCATGGAATCACTGTCCTTCCCCGAGTACAGGGACAGGGTGTCTAAGTTGTCCTCTAGTGCCTCGCTGGGCATGTCGGGCGTTGGGAGGCTGGGGTCCAGGTCCAAACCACTCAGGCCAGCATAGAGCAGGTCTCGTGTGTTGGGACCCAGATCCCGGTTGAGGGTGTCGCTGCAGTTGAGCCCTTGGCTCTCCGAAAACGAAGGGAGGTGCATTTCTGACGGCAGGGCACCCTCGTCCCCAAGGCTGTATTGGTCCATGGCTCTCCACTGCCAGGTCTTGGCCAAGAGCTACTCTCCGGACAAGCAAAGACGTGTAAGGAGACAAGGAGGACAGTGCCCTCAATGGCAGCTAATTCCTGAAAATGAAGGAGGAATCAAAGTTACGAGGTGGCAACATGGCAGGGTAGGTAGAACATGGTCTTCCAGTTCAAACAGATCTTTATCTGTGGGGACTGTGCTCTGTCACTTATTAGCCCTGTGACCTTGGGCAAGTGACTAAAGCTCCACAAGTCCCACTTTCCTTACCTATAAAGTGGGCATAGGCCGGGCGCGGTGGCTCACGCCTGTAATTCTAGCACTCTGGGAGGCCAAGGTGGGCAGATTGCTCGAGGTCAGGAGTTCTAAACCAGCCTGAGCAAGAGCGAGACCTCGTCTCTACTATAAATAGAAAGAAATTAATTGGCCAACTAATATATATACAGAAAAAATTAGCCAGGCATGGTGGCACATGACTGTAGTCCCAGCTCCTCAGGAGCCTGAGGCAGAAGGATTGCTTGAGCCCAAGAGTTTGAGGTTGTTGTGAGCTAGGCTGACGCCACGGCACTCACTCTAGCCTGGGCAACAAAGTGAGACTCTGTCTCAAAAAAAAAAAAAGTGGGCATAAGAGTACCTCCATTATAAGGTTGTCCTAAAGAATAAATGGAAGAATTTCCAGCAACATGGTGGACTGAATCAACCTTTTTCTCAACTATAAACATATAAGAACATGACAAAAGATCATTTTTAAGGCACAGCCAAGCTCGAAAGACAGGTAAAACCCCAAATGCCAGCAACAATGAGAAAACTCAAAGCCAGAAGTTTAAGCTCAGGGCAGCCCAAGGGGAAACTCAGACCGGAAACAAGGCCTAGAGCTGTGCTGTCCCACATGGGCCACCAGTCCCACGTGGCTATGAAGCACTTGAAATGTGACTGGCCCAGACTGAGACATGCTGTGAGTGTAAATACAACCTGGATTTAGAAGACTCAGTACCAAAAAAAAAACATTTAACAAGTTTTTTAATAGATTAAATGTTGGAATTATAATATTTTAGATATAATGGGTTAAATATGTTATTAAAATTAATTTAATCTGCTTCTTATTTTTTAATGTGGCTTCCAGAAAATTTTAAATTATATATGGCTCATATTACATTTCTATGAGAGAACCACTCCCCTGGAGGCTGGGACCTAGAGTTATAATAGTCACATGGGAAAAGGAAACAGGGCCTTGACCTCACAGGACATGGAGACCTGGGACCCTTGAAGAGCTGAACCACCCACAGGAAAACTAAACAAATTAAAAGAAAAACTCTGCACACAGCTTAGAAAAGCACCCCAAGAACTAGAAAAAAACTAGGACAATGAGAGACGACAAAACTGAACATAGTAATAATATAAAAAATAGGTGACCATGGGAAAAGAACATTTTCAAAAAGAAGCAAATGGAACTTCTAGAAATAAAAGACATTTAAATTAAAAACTCACTGGAAGGGTTAAACAGCAGATTAAACAATGCTGAAGAGAGAAACAGTGAATGGGTACGAAAATCTGAGGAAATCCCCACAGAATTTACTACAGAGAGATAAAAAAAAGGAAAAATGAATGAGAAGTGAGAAAATACGAATGGAGAAGCAGACGCAAAAGTCTAACACATATCCGATAGGGCTCCCAAAGGAAATGAAAGAATACTGGAGAGATAGCATCTTAAAAAGATAATGGTAGAGAAATTTCAAGAACTACTGAAACACGTGAATCCAGACAAAAGGTATGATTCCTCAAGATATATGGTTAATAATGACCAAGGATTTCAAGGCCAGAGCAGATAAATAAGAAAGAATTCACTCCTTGACACACAGTAGGAGAACCATAGAAGACTAAAGACAAACAGCAAACCCTAAAACTTGAAATCCTAAAGGACAGTCTACAGGGGAATGACAATTAGACTATGGCACACTTACCAACAGAAGCAAGGCTAGAAGAGACTGTATCATCAACAGACGAAGAAAAGTGTAAGGCCGGGCGCGGTGGCTCACGCTTGTAATCCTAGCACTCTGGGAGGCCGAGGCAAGAGGATCGCTCAAGGTCAGGAGTTCAAGACCAGCCTGAGCAAGAGCAAGACTCCCGTCTCTAACTAAAAATAGAAAGAAATTAGCTGGACAACTATATATATATATAAAATTAGCCGGGCATGGCAGCGCATGCCTATAGTCCCAGCTACTTGGGAGGCTGAGACAGGAAGATTGCTTGAGCCCAGGAGTTCGAGGTTGCAGTGAGCTAGGCTGATGCCATGACACTCTAGCCTGGGCAACAGAGCAAGACTCTGTATCAAAACAAAAAAAGGTGACTGAAACCCAGGAGAGCTTTGTGGCATTTTAACTTCCCGTTGTCCCGTCCCCACTGCCGGGCTCAGCAGTGGTCTTGAAGGTAGCAGCCCACCTTTCCGGTGTGGGTTCCTGGTGCTCGAGGGAAGACAGAGGATCTTGTTCTCAAAGAGCAGTGGATGTCTGTCTGTCTGGCCTGTGGTGGCTCCCTGAACCTAACACAAAGGTCTTGCCTTTACTGTGCCTAACATGGAACTCTCTTGGGGTGGAGAATGGCTACGGGGAGGATATTCACTGCAAACATTACAGACCCCTGCAGCCTGGGGCAAGGGATATTAATTGGGGCAAACAATTTAAATGCCAAAAGCCAGGGAGGAAAGGGGGGAGTCCAATGCTTTGGGGAATAAGGTCTTTGAAAAACTTCCACACTGGCAGTTTGTTACAAAGCTAAATATAATCTCATGCGATTCAGCAATGGCACTCCTAGACATCTCCTCAACTGAGCTGAAAACTCAGGCCCACACAAATGTTTACGGCAGCTTTATCCAGGACTGCCCTCAACCGGAAGTAACCAAGATGTCCCTCCATAGGCAAATGGATAAACAAACTGGGACATCCAGGCAATGGAATGTTATTCAGCAATAAAAAGCAATATGCTATCAAGCCACAGAAAGACACGGAGGAACTTTAAATGCACAGTACCACTAAGTGAAAGAAGCCAGTCTGAAAAGGCTACATACTTTGTGACGCCAAGTATATGGCATTCTGGAAAAGTCAAAATGACAGAGACAGTAAAGAGATCAGCAGGGCAATGAACAGGTGCAGCATAGGAGGGCGACACTACTCTGTGATACCCTCTTGGTGGATACATGACATCCACACATGAGTCAATGCCCACAAAACTACAAAATAGGAAAAGTGAGCTCTAATATAAACTATAGACCTTAGTTACTTTAAAAAAGAGCTTCTGTATACTGATGGGAATTCAAAAGGCTGTATGCTCAGCATGGGCTCATGCTCAGAGAAGACTGCAGAAGGCTGTAGGCTCTTCCCTCTGGCTGACTCCATGCCAGCAGAGAGTGAAGGCAAAGGCAGAGCCGCACACTGAGGGCCGAAGGCATGTCCGGCTGCAAAGACTGATAGTTCTTTATTTTTCGCTCCAGTTTAAAGAAAACTGGGTTAAGACACTAGATCACCACTAAACTAACAGAACAGACTTCCCTGACCAGACCAACAAAGAACAGTCTTTGCAAAAATAGTTCAGAAGAGCCACTAAACAATTACAACCCACAATGAGCAGTACCAACTAACCCTGAGGGCGGGGATCGGGAAAAGAATCTGATTGCCAGAGATACCATATCATAATATTGAAAAGAAAAAGTCCAGTTTTTTTTTTTTTTTTTGAGACAGAGTCTTGCTTTGTTGCCCAGGCTAGAGTGAGTGCCGTGGCATCAGCCTAGTTCACAGCAACCCCAAACTCCTGGGCTCAAGCAATCCTGCTGCCTCAGCCTCCCGAGTAGCTGGGACTACAGGCATGCACCACCTCTATATATATTAGTTGGCCAATTAATTTCTTTCTATTTATAGTAGAGACGGGGTCTTGCTCTTGCTCAGGAGGGTTTCAAACTCCTGACCTCGAGCAATCCGCCCACCTCAGCCTCCCAGAGTGCTAGGATTACAGGCATGAGCCACCACGCCAGGCCTAAAATGTCCAGTTTTTGGCCAGGCATGGTGGCTCACGCCTGTAATCCTAGCACTTGGGAAGCCGAAGTGGGTGGATCATTTCAGCTCAGGAGCTCAAGACCAACCTGAGCAAGAGCGAGACTCTGTCTCTACTATAAATAGAAAGAAATTAGCTGGACAACTATATATACAGAAAAAATTGGCCGGGCATGGTGGCGCATGCCTGTAGTCCCAAGCTACTTGGGAGGAGGCTGAGGCAGAAGGACCACTTGAGCCCAGGAGTTTGAGGTTGCTGTGAGCTAGGCTGACACCACGGCACTCTAGCCAGGGCAATGGAGTGAGACTCTGTATCAGAAAAAAAAAAAAAATGTTCAGTTTTTCAACAAAAAGTTATGGCCCATTTGGAGGGCCCTGCATTTCATACAAATGGAATCACATGATATGTGACATTTTTCTTTCACTAAGCATAGCGTTTTCAGGGTTGGTCCACGTTATAGCTTGTGTCAGTGCTTCATTTCTTTCTTTCTTTCTTTTTTGTTTTTTGAGATAGAATCTCACTTTGTTGCCCAGGCTAAAGTGAGTGCCGTGCCGTGCCGTCAGCCTAGCTCACAGCAACCTCAAACTCCTGGGCTCAGGCAATCCTCCTGCCTCAGCCTTCCGAGTAGCTGGGACTACAGGCATGCGCCACCATGCCCGGCTAATTTTTTCTATATTTATTAGTTGGCCAATTAATTTCTTCCTATTTATAGTAGAGACGGGGTCTCGCTCTTGCTCAGACTGATTTCGAACTCCTGACCTCAAGCAATCTGCCCGCCTCGGCCTCCCAGAGTGCTAGGATTACAGGCATAAGGCTTCATTTCTTTCTATGGCTGCATAACGCTCCACTGTCTGGATATACCACATTATACTTACCTTTTCACCTGTTGATAAACACTTCTGTTGTTTCCATTTGGGGTCTACTATGAATAATCCTGCTCTCATCTAGAGGTTTAATAAATGCTTGATGACTCACTGATAACCAATCTAGTATCTCCTGGAATAACTGAAGTGTGGGCCTACATTTCTAAGCCATTAGTTTCTATGTTTTGAAAACT